TAAAGGAAGTATAGGCGGAAGTAAAGAACGGTTCTTCACTTCCGCCTTGACTTCCTTGAGCATTCTCCTACTTTCAAAGTCGGATATCTTGCTTCATGTCTTCCAGTACTTTATCCTGACAGCAATACAATTCTCTTAATTTCACCATGCAGTTCCGATAGCTCGTTGTAGATTGGGCATGGCTTTGAATTGCGCCATTGTTTGCTTGTTCACATCTTGCTAAGAAAACTTCAGTTCCCTTAAGCAAACAAGTACTCTGAGTATATGAGATATGTGTGGTAGTTAATGTTCAGCGCCCGCACTTTAGAATCTCAATAATATTTTTTGGGCGAGGCTGGGGTTCTTAGTTCATAGGGTTAGGTTACAACTTTCCACTACAGGATGTGTATTGGTTTTAGTGCAGGGGTTCTTACCCGGGCTCGCAAATGGTGCTCAAGTTCTTATGTTCGACGTAATGTTTAGCATGAAGTTCTTAACTGCCAAGTTCTTAAACTGCCAAGTTCTTAAACTGTCAAGTTCTTAAACTGTCAAGTTCTTAACTGCCAAGCAAGTTCTTAACTGCCAAGTTCTTAAACTGTCAAGTTCTTAAACTGCCAAGTTCTTAAACTGTCAAGTTCTTAACTGCCAAGTTCTTAAACTGCCAAGTTCTTAAACTGTCAAGTTCTTAAACTGTCAAGTTCTTAAACTGTCAAGTTCTTAACTGCCAAGCAAGTTCTTAACTGTCAAGTTCTGAAACTGTCAAGTTCTGAAACTGTCAAGTTCTGAAACTGTCAAGTTCTTAACGGCCAAGTTACTACCTGCGGGCGCTATCTGTAGTCTAGTAAACCTTCGACAACGAGGAGGGGGCAATCGGCCCGAAATAAACCGGAGTAGTGGATTATGTTGACATGTTTGACAAGCGCGTATATACTTGTCGTCGGTGACCCCACATACGGCGGCGCGCAAGCAATCGGATTGAGACCGGACGTTGTCTCGGCCATGTTGAACACGTAGTTCGGGAGAAGGAAATGACGTCCGACCAGATCCTGCAACGAGTGCTTCGGAAGCTCGCTCCCCGACGCACCGAATAGGCAGATTTTCTTTCGTATTCATCCTCAGTTGTAGGGATGGGATGCCTATGACTATAGTAGTAGCCACGTGTAGAGGATGGATGCGAAGATACTCTGCCTCTTCGGTATATCGGGGAGGGAAAATACGAAGGGTTCTTTGCCGGACGTGGTCGGACGCCATTTCCAAATAAATCTCGAACAACATGTTCAACATGGTCGAGACAATGTCCGGTCTCAATCTGGTCGCCTGCGCGTCGCCGGATGGGGAGATCAAAAGCAATCTTACTACCACCGTGTAAAGCTTGCTGTCTATCACGCTTGAGCGGCCTTGCCCTCGCAACCATCAGCGTGGGTCCACCCGACTTGCCGATCATCATGCGTTTCGCTTCCTTCACTTAACATTGTGTTGCCCGTTGGAACTCAGTCGTGTAGACTCGTTTTATTGATGAAGGGGCAGAGTACGGAAAACGGGGCCGACTTGGCCGGTGTTCACGAAACTTGCACGATAACCCCACGATAGGCAGGAAAAACGTCACGAGACATGGCTAACAGTGGGTTTAGGGTAGGAACTAAAGGTTCAATGTCTTGGAGGCCTACGCAATAACCTTACAAGTATGAGCTACCAGCCAGCACCATCAAATAGCTCAAGTGGTCATGTCATTGTGCGAGTGACCCCCCCCCCCCCCCCCAAGACGGATTCTCCTAGCCCCATTGCCCCACAATCAAGAGGCTTGCCATGCAGAAAAGAGCTGTCTTGGTAAAGTAAAACGTTTCATCAAATGAGAGTTTCGTTGCACGTTCGGTCGGTTTTTACATCTTGTTGGTTGTGGAGCAACCGCACTAATGTGTAAGTGTAAGATTGGCATCAGTTTCTCTCAGCCACCTTGCCTTAATCGTACTCGCAGCACAATCAAGCAACAGCTACCACGTCTACAAGCAGATCACAGAAGGGCTCATAGCAACCTGTGCTCCCCCAAAACCAAACTGTTCGACATCAGGGGGTGGAACGCGTTTGCGCTGGACGACTTGGACATACCTTCCGTGACCATGGCTTGGAGGCGTTTTTCCTTGAGGGAGGGGAAGGGTCGTCTCGAGCGTGTCGTGCTGGCGTCGGCCGAAAGCTACGCTCAGGCACAGGTGGGTACAAAAAATGGACTACACCTTTTTGCCCTCACGTCCTTGTGCAGAGAGTTGACAATCGGTGTGGTCGACACGCGGCTGCGGAGGTTGGGCAAGGCTGCGCAGACAGCCTGTCGAGCATATTCGTCAAATTGCCGTCCTTTAGGTAGGGTGGGTCGGTGGGTGGACACCATCAGGGGGTAGGGTGCGACGAAACAACGCGGTTCCGGGAAACCGCCGTGGTGAAGCCGGTGTTGTAAAAAGGACAGACATCACATCGTCTATGGACCACCGTACATGGCTTGATGTTAGGAAACGTGTGAGGCAATGGGTTTTCTTTGGGTGAAAGCGTTTGAGGTGTGTGTGCTTTTGGGGGACGGGCTCGGGCGCGGAGGCGTACTCGTGTCAACGCATGCCGTGGTCGGTAGACCGTAGACCTCGCATCCCTGCAATGCTACCGGGATGGAGCGGTTTGCCGGGTTTTCGCCGGCACAGGAGGGTGCTCGATCTGTACACTAGGGCGCTGTGGAGAAATCACCCACACCGTGAGGATGACCTGTCTACGCCCCGTTTCTGCGGGGCTGCGGCGCCTAGTGTCGCAACTAGATACTGCTGTCCGCATAGAGTTGTACACCATACGCACGTCAAATTCGTGCCAAATGCGCGCATTTAGTGGCGGTGCCCATCGTCCATCGTTTTCGGGTTGATGCGGCGGTGAGTTGAGCATGTTGGACGGAGGGTAGCGTCGAACAAAAGCTGATGGTATGTACGGCGTTTCGCGCAAATGGTGCAAAGAGGCGTGCCGCCGTGTGTAGAGGATGGGAAGGAACGGTGCATCGGGCGAGTGTGGTGTGCATGCGTCCAAGGTACGGGAACAAAAATTCCACCGCCGGTGTGATGCGCGTCTGGGAAAACAAGATCGCCTAACTAATCCGTGGTGTAATACGGTAAACGTCGGTTGTACGACAATAACAAGTATCTTCGGCACGTGCCATTCAATCCTCACCGTGGCACAATCCCTTCGAGACCATGAAAAAAGTGAGGAGATGTCTATTTCTTCACGATCCTTCGTGCGTCCGACATATATCAGCCGCTCACATTGGATCACGGCCAATAGCCGCGGACGACGTGGGCGCACCTTCGGAAGTTACCTTGAGAGTATCGAATATTCACGAGGAAGCCCTCTTGCTGACTTTGAAGTACATGATGACTTGTGTCACACACAAACGAATAAACGCGCCGCGCCAATCAGGAGAACGAGGGAGGAGGCGGGTCGTGGGACGTCACTTTCGATACCGCTGGACACCGAAACTTCATGCAAAGGGGGTCCTACTCGCTGGGCATCGGAGCCATTCTACCCTAACGTTGGTCGCCAGCGGTGCTCAGTCGCCGACCGTTGACGCGTTGTTATTGTTGTTACTGTTGTTGTGGTTGGACGGGGGGGGTACTCATCATGTAAACGCATACCGGTACTTGTATGCCGTAGTCGTTAGCCCATTGGCCTCGCATCCCTACAACGCGCGGTTGAACAAGGGAAAACCGCGTGAAAACCCCAAGTATTTGTAGGTGCTCGTTTTTCTCGGCGACAATGCCACAGAGACTGGTGTCGTCGTTTGCCACCTGCAAGCGCCGGAGATAGATGCCGTTGACTTGCGGGCAGGTTCGCGGAAAGGAACCGTCCGGCTTTTGACAGCGGTTCGTTGTGGACACAATCCAGCGTCGTGGTGTACCAGTGCACACGGATTACATAGGTGAACTAGTCTAGGCACAAGGTAATCATGTACGTACAAGACAGCATATTTGTTGGGATGTGCGCGAAGAGAGGGAGTCGTCGCCGACAGACTTTGGGGAGATTGTACCCTTTGTGGGGATGTCCACATGGGGGTAGATCATGTTGTTGTACCCACACTTCGCATTTTTTTCTGGTTTGGGGAGGACACATAAAAAAGGAAGAGCGCTGGCTGGAGGGACGTGCGGATGTAGCATCCTCGTGTTGGTTCGTGTGCACGCATGTTCGAGTCACCTGCACCAGACCCAGTCACATTCTCATCCTTCTCCAGTTCTTGTGGGGTACACTACGAGCGGTGGGGGGGCGGGCACAAACGACACGTTTTTCCAAGTCTCGCACTCTGCTCTACAGCACCTACTCGCCGAATGTACTTCACGTGTCTTCTTTTGGTTTATTTTTGCCTTTAGATGATGCGAAACAAGTGGCCAAGGGCGTGCGGTGGGGTAGGTAGGTGGCGTTGTGATGCTATCGCACTATGCATAGCTAGCATGCACCCTTTCCTGAAGCGGTAACCGCGGTGGTTTAGGGTCTGGTGTGCTTGACGGTCTGTGGGAAATGCGAGGTATGCCTTTCTTCCGTGAAGTCCGATGCGTGCACGGTAAGAAACCACACACAGTCCCCCAACGCTTCGTCGTTTCTCTTTTTGCGACGTTTTGCCGACACTTGCCGGCGTTTCACGGGTCCTTGTCATCCCCGTCGCCGGTTCGCCCAGGTCCGAAATACTGGCTCAACAGGATAACCTATTGCTTGTGCCACGAAACAAAAAGCCAAGGCGGCAGTGCATGAGTACACGTTGAGGAGCGAGAGAGCTGCACTCTTCGCGCGTTAAACATCGAAGGCAAGCTCCGCAAGCAAGAAGAGGGGTGGGTAGGGAGAGGGACCCCTTATTCTGTGTGACCACGGATTGGAGCAGCTAGCTCCGACCCGGCAGAAACGCTGTGAGCGCTGATTGAAAGTGCAGAAAATTATTCAGGTTTCTCGTGCTGCTGACCCAGCCAATCTGTGGTCGGGGTTCGTTGCTACCGCCGGGAAGGATCACGGCAGCACGAGAGAGGTCTGTCTGATACTAAAAGACTTTAAACGATCGGTGTTCAATCAAACCCTGAACAATATTCACACGCCCCCGCCTCAAACGCCCGCGGGGCCTCGAAGACGCAACGAACGCTCGATCTTCGCCGAGGCTCTGGAATTCAGCATAATAATCGCTCCCAAGACAAAGATGGGCTTGCGAACATTGGAACACAGACAACGCCCGCACTTGGAAGACTTGGCAGCTAGTGTAAGAACTTCATGCTCAACATCGTATCAAACATAGACACTAGTGCACCACTTGCGAGCTCGGTTAGGAAACCCTACACTAAAAACCAACATATAGCGACCATTCGTAGCACAACTATATAGGAACTTCGAGTACAAGGCTCGGGCAACACTATAATAGAGGTTCCTAAGTACCACTAAAACCAATATAGCGACCTTTCGTAGCATGACCCAATGATAGGAACTAAGAACCCCAGCCTTGGGCAACACTATAATAGAGGTTCTAAAGTGCGAGTGCTACAACCTGTAATTTGATTGCGTTGTCCACATACGCCCGAGACTAACAATAGGTCCATACACAGCGGAGGACGGACATCGGGCGATGCAGATTTCTGCCTGCGGCCCTCTTGTGCAACAACTTAGACAGCTCTGCCCTCCTACATCCGCTGGCGATTAGCGTCCGTACTGACGCATCCGCGGGCACAGGAGTGCTCGAGTTTCCAAATCTCATCTTGGGATTTATGGGTCTTACCAGACTGAGGGGAAAAAGAAACTCATAGTCCTATTTATGAAGCCTACCGACGAGGGAAAGGAAAGGCTGAATGAGTTCTTCTCGCGATACAGATCAAGGCACGCACCGCACGAGAAGGCGGAGAATACAACTAACTGTGTGGTCTGCCGTTCCTCCTGTGTGACCCCGGCCGGTGCGTCCAGAAATACACCGAAAGACGTAAGGACCGACGCCCAGAACGAAATAGGTTGTAGTTGTTGTTTTCACCTTAAAAACCGTTCCGATCTCCACCCAGTACCTCTCATCAGTCCGTACTCATCAAGCACTTGACCGGTCAATGCCCGTGGCCACAGGCTAACTGATCCCAAAGAATGTGCTCGGATAAAATGGACCCGGAGGGTCCGCAAGCCAACTGAAATCAACGACACATGGGACGACAAGAAAACAAACAAACAAAAAAACAAGTTTCAAATCGTAAATCCACTGCTAAGTAACCAACAACACGTGGACAGAGTTACTTCCTAGACCTAACATCGAGCTCCCTGGGCTCGTAGTGTATACAATTTTTTTCTGCCTGGTTTGAACAGCTACATGCAGCACGTGTGAACTTCTCCTTACAGTGACGTTGTCGACAATCAATCCCGTCCCATCAAAACAAACGTCCCATCAAAACAAACGCCCCAAAGGGCAAATCTCTACAAAACACGATGCACGTTTCCAATTGGTCCGGTGCTCACTCAAACTTGAGCTTCCCCGATTTCCCGGGACCCCCTTCACCCACCTGCCGTCCACACACGATCCGGCAAAACCGAGACGCACATTGTCCCACGCGAGCCGCCTCCGGGACCACACCCATCACGGTAGCGCACACCCACCAAGCACGACGATTTGCGCTCTGTCGACCGTTTACCTACATGCCGTGCACAAGAATCCACACCGAAGCAGGACGCGTACGTATGCATACGTACGTGCGTTCGGGCGCACGTTCGCTCCCTCGCGAACGGACGAAAAAGAACGCGCTTCGGACATGCTCTTCTGCCGTACCGCTGCTGCACGAAAAATCTGTGTCCAATTGAGCAGCGTCGACCTGAGACCCGGCAAACACGCGGCACCCGTGGAAGCAAAAAAAAAAACAAGACAAAATTGGCAAGAAAACAAGTACTCCCCGCCCCCCGCCCCCCTCCCCTCCCCCGCCACCGCCGGCGTCACCAAAACCAAACAATTTACGCGTGTTCGCCACACCGGCAGCCTGACCCCATCACCCCCTAAGGGGGTCGAAACCTCACACAGCCAGCGACTAAATACATGCCCGCTCTCTGGCGACCGCTGCTTCTCCTCAACGCTTGGCAGCCAAGCAGGCCTGCAGTCTCTCCCTCCACGGATCAAGCCGGTACCAGCGGTAGTAGGTGTAGTCCAACTCGTAGATCTTGCCAACAGTCTCTAGGGTCTCCAGGTCGTTGTAGTACTCCGCCCACGCGCAAAGGTCCTCCCCGTCGAAGAGATCGCGCGCGCGCGGCGGCAAGGGCTCGTCCTTGTCGTTGCCTACGCACCCAGAGTAAACGGAGGAGTAGGAGTAGGAGTAGGAGTGGGAGTCGGAGTAAGACTAAAATGATAGGAGGTGAATGAGGAGGAGGAGGAGGAGGAGGAGGAGGAGGAGGAGATAGAGGAGGAAAGCTGCAGAAGGCATCACCAGTTAGGAACTTGGTACACACGTTGGATTTCAGGTTTCGAACGCGTCGACGCATGTGAACTTGAAACCAATCCCCATGCTAAAACGACCAGTGCATGTACGTTATCAGTTTGGTGATGCGGTAGCCTGGTCCGGCGGAAACCCGGCGTGCTCCATCCCGGCTTTGTAGGGATGCGAGGTCAATGGTCTAACGACTACGGCATGCACGGCTATGAGGACACCCCCCACCCCCCCCGCCCCAAGCAAAGGCGACGGTGCTTTCGTGAACGAACCTTCTGGTCGTTGTGATTCCTCGCCGACCGGCCCTCCCTGCCGCCGCCGGGCGTTCCGGCCGTAGTCGAACTCCATGAAGGCGTGTTGCCCTTCTGGCCCCCACCCGGACTTCCCGAACGCCTCCCAGATGTCTCCGGGGAGAGACTTGACTAGCTCGGTAGAGGTTTTCTGCACATTGTAGCCGGTGGCCACCAACACCGCGTAGGGTTTGGTTGGAAGGGGTGTAACATTCTGCATCACCATCATCATCACCACCAAGACGTGCTGTGGTGTGTAGGGTAGGCCCACGAGGCTGGTTGGTGGGATGTAACACTTCTGCTGCATCATTGTCTGTGGTTGCAGGGTCGGCTCACAAAAGTTGGTTGGTGGGGTATAACGTTTCTACATCATCATCATCATCATCATCATCATCATCATCATCATCATCATCACCACCACCAAAGGCGTGCTGTGATTGTAGGGTAGGCCCACGAGGCTGGTTGGTGGGATGTAACACTTCTGCTGCATTGCTATATGTGGTTGCAGCATTGGTTCACGAAGTTGGTTGGTGGGATGTAACAATTCCGCATAAATAGTATCATGTGGTTGCAGGGTTGATTTACGAAAGTTGGTGGTGGGATGTAACGCTTCTGCTGCATCATTATATGTGGTTGCAGGGTCGGCTCACAAAAGTTGGTTGGTGGGGTATAACGTTTCTATACCATCATCATCATCATCATCATCCTCATCATCATCACCACCACCAAGGCGTGCTGTGATTGTAGGGTAGGCCCACGAGGCTGGATGGTGGGGTGTAACGTTTCTGCAGCATCGGCACCACCCACGGCGTGTTGTGGTCGTAGGGTTTGGGTACTTGTTTTCGTCGTCATACAGGGGTATGAAGGCGAACTTTAACTTCTTCACAAAAAATTAGTTTGTGGGGTGTCACATTTCTGCATTGTCGTCAGTGCGACGGCAAGGTGGCTGTAGGATATTTCGCGAAGTTGGGTAGTGGGGGAACAACAAAGAGGGTTCGCTGTCTGTTTGTGGAACGAATTGGCGAAAGAAAAGTTTACTAGCAGAACGCGTCACACCTTACCTCTGAAAAATTATGAGTACCAACATATTGACCGCAGCGACGGGTGTTGAGTTAATAATCCAGCACCACAAACTACGTAGTCCATGTTGCGTTACCCCGCAAAGACGGAGAAAGAAACGAGCTTCGGGCAAAACAAGAGGTTCTTAAGCGGTGGAGCGTGTTCTGCAACACATTATCGTCTTGCAACGCGACCCTCCATTAACCTTAAGTTGCCCCGTCAAGTGCTCGTTCGGCAAGGAACCCGAGGACGGCTTAGGTTGGTTCGGCTTAGATTGGTTGGTGTTGAGAACCCTTTTGTTGTATGCAATTGTTCTCTACTTGAGGGTAAACGTCGCGATCTCGTGTGCAAGGGTTAGCCAGAAGAGGCCGTGAAGACTACTGAAGGTTGCAGGGAGATACTACGGGGAACCTCATTGCTGTCGGTCGACTAGCGTCTGGCCCGCAATAGTAGTCCCGTTGAAATCGTGTAATATGTTGGAGTTGTGCCATTCTCCAAGTAGAGACAGCGAGAGACAGAGCATCACACACACACACACACACACTGCTACGGTATCTGTCTTTAATCAAGAGAGTAGCGTGGACTCCCAATGACGTGCGGTCACGGGGTCCCAGATTGAGGTCTTTAGAATCATTTTATGTTTTCAACCGCACTGAGACTGACGCATTTTTCAGCCGGTTAGCGCGGTCGATGCAAAATACAAACGCACACACGCACACACACACACCTGCAGCCTCTCGAACGGGATGACGCTGTCGAACGGAGAGTTGCGCTGGCCGCACAGGCTCACCGCCGGCCGGAACGCCACGGGGCCGCCCCAGACGTCCGCCTTGAGGGTCTCCACAACCTCCACGAACGTAGGGACGCCGACACCATCGCCGTCGCCGTCACCGCCGCCGCCAACGGCGGACCTGTCGCCGCCGTCCTCGCCTGCCGCCCCGGGGCCGTCCCAACCCCCGGGACCCTGCCAGAAGAAACGCCTCTCTCCTTCCTCCTCCATTTCGCGGTGTCGTAGCGGGTGGTGCTCCGGCGACACCTCCCGGCCGTCGTCGTTGTTAGCCTTGACGGGTTGGTCTGCTGCGTCGGTTCTTCTCTCGCCTTGTAGTAATCGCCCGTCCGCGCCCCTCCCGCCGCCGGCGTTAGCGCCCCCTTGGTTGTCGGTTCCTTCGTTGCGGCTTCCGCTGCCGCCCTCTCCATCAAAAACGCCTCCGCTGTCGTGCAAACCCTCGTAGGCGATTCCCTCGTTTTCCTCCTCTTGCCGGGGCCCCGGTCCCCGCTGTCGCCGCCGCCGCCTTCGCCTGTCGACGATAGCGTCGAACAAGTCCCACTCGCTTCCGGTGAGCGGTGCATGGTCTCTGCTTCCCCCTTGCTGGTGATGTCGGTCATCATCTTCGCCCGTAGGCTCCCCCTCGTCCGGCGATTGCCGTAGCCGCCGTCGATCGTGGTTGGAACTCTGCGGTGGCGGCGGGGGTGGGGCTCAGTAAGCGGTCGGCAGCAAACGGTTCCTGTTGAGAGTTGTCTTGGCGCGTTCACGCACCTCTACTATACATTTGCCGTGAACTTCCAGCAGTAGTTGAGGCAAATGCAGCAACATGACGAAACGGCAATGGAACTTTCGAGCATGTTCCGGTTCTCCCTAGTGTGCGAAAAAAGAGCACTTCTCGAGAACCTATTGATAAATAGCGCACACATGCCTTTAGACGCGTGTGCCGTTTCTAGGCGTGACTGGCGTATTTTCATTGGTCAGCCGGTTAGCGCGGTCGATGCGCACACTAAAGCCAACCAGAAGGGAAACAGAGGAGCACACACACAAGCGGTTTTTCTGTTTTCGGCGGCACTGAAACTGACGTCTTTTCATTGGTCAGCCGGTCAACGCGGTCGATGCTAACAATAATAATAACAACAACAAAACACACACACACACCTGCCCGGCAGCAGCATCATCCGCCGCCCCCCCCGGCGGCGACAACGCCTCTCGCCACCTGTCGGCAAGGTCGAGGTAGGCCGAAAGCAGCCGGGTGACCGGGTCACGCACGAGGCCGATCTTGATCCAACCGGACCCGTTCTCCTGGTAGATCTCCTCCATCAGGTGCCCGTCCGTCGCATCCAGCAGCTCGAGCCCCGAGGCTTCTCTGTCGAACACCAGCGACCGGTCGTTGGACACCGCCCAGTGCGGGAGGCCCTTCGAAATTTTGAGGGTTCGGTTCCGAACCCGGTGTGTGTCCGTGGTGTCAGGCGGGTAGGGTTGGGAGAAGAAAGTGATGTGTTGTGTACATATTGTTAAAAAAAAAAAACTCCCAAAATTAGCTCGTGAGTACTACGGGAGGATGGAGAAATGACGCCACCCTTCCAATTATTTCTTTCGGGTTTGGGTTACGAACCGGTGGTGTGTCTGTGTCAGACGGGCAGGGTTGGGAGAAGAAAGCGATACGCTGTGTGCATATTGCGTCCCCAACACTGAAAACTATCCAATAAAACACACACCCACCCAATACTATTGTATACCACCCAGCAGAAAAAAGCTTGACAACTCAACGTTACGGAACAAACACCGCACCGCTATTTCGCGATCGACAACTATCGTTTTAGGTGAAAAAACCACCAGGTCTAGCTCGCGAGTACTACAGAAGGATGGGCGATGACGCCCCCCTCTGAGTTGGGCTTCACTGTTTTGGGTCCGAGCCGGTGTCCGCAGTCAACAGAGAGAACGGGAAGGGCTAAGAAAAGTGACGCTGGGTACATATTGTTGTTTTACGAGAAAAAAGCAGGACACTGCTGTCGTACAAACTTGCACGCCGCGCTCGTCGGTAGAACCGTGTGGTTAGCGGGCGTGTTGGTGTTCTTATCCCGCACTGAGACTGACGTCTTGCCAGTGGATAGCCGGTTAGCGCGGTCGATGGTAACAACCAAAACACACACACACACACACACAAACACACACACACGCACACACACACACGCGCACACACACACACACACACACACACACACGCACGCACAAAGCAAGGGGTCCCAGATCGTGACCTTTTGTCGGTGTCAAACCGCACTGGGAGTGACGTCTTTTCATTGGTCAGCCGGTCAGCGCGGTCGATGCTAACAACCAAAACACACACACACACACACACACACACACAGCAAGGGGTCCCAGATCGTGACCTTTTGTCGGTGTCAAACCGCACTGAGAGTGACGTCTTTTCATTGGTCAGCCGGTTAGCGCGGTCGATGCTAACAATAAAAAGACACACAAACGGCAGCCTGAACAACATGGGACATACCTGCATCCGTTTGGCGAGCATCCTGAACTGCAGCGACCCGGTGTTCGGGGGCGCGCAGAAAAGCAGGGACCGCTCCTCGTTCACGATTGTCTCTGTCTCGGCCAGCCACTGTCGCCTGCAATCCGGGGTTGGCCATGGTTTTTTCCGAGAGGGGAAGCGGAATAGGGAATTGGATAATTCGATTGTTCTTGTAGTTCATCATGAAATGATTGATTGTTGCAGCTACAGCAGTAAAAATCGTTCGGTCTCTGCGCAGGAGTACTTGCGCCACCCCCGCATCATCTAAATTTATCTACGTGCTGCGATCTCATCCTATCTACACGGCGCACACTCTGCTCTTGCTACAGCAACACCGCATGCTGATCATCCCACTCTGCTGCTGCTACTACTACTGCATGCCCATACCCTCTCTACAGCACACTCCGCTGCTGTTGCTATAAACTCTGGCCATCCTCTCACGTTGCGCCGGCAGGGGGGGGTAGCTTCGCAGTCGTCCGCGGAGCCGCGTCGACCTCCTCGCCCTTGGGATCATACCGGTTGCAGGTCCACATGTCTGCCGATCTGCCCTCGCCCTCAGTCCCTCCTCCCCCCGCGAGCGCGTAGCTCTGATTGGTTGGTTTCGTGGGGCAGCGCGCTGGTTGGCTAGTTTCTTCGGTGCTCTGATTGGTCAGTTTCTTTGGAAAAGGAACGCTGCTCTGATTGGATTGTTGGTTCGTAGTAGGGAAAGGGCCGAGCGCTGATTGGCTAGTAAAGGTCGCGCTGCGTCCTGTTAAGGGTGTTCGGCATATTGTGCTTGCTTCCTGGCATACGGATGATGGCTGCGAATGACTTGATGCATTTTCTGGCGCTTTTACTTCCAGAGACCATTGTGTAACTGCCTCGGGGGGTGCTTGGCCAACGTTAACACAACGTAGTCCGATCATCCCCTGTGTGCGGAGTGAGGGTTTTCCACCCCGTACAACATGATCTACTCGACCACCATCACGGTTACTACCGCAGACAAACACAAAGGCCATACAAAAAAGCGGGGGGGCGGCGGGGGGAAGCATACGCAGATTCAGCACGCACCGCTCGGACGAACTTCGTAGCGGTGCCGAGGAAGGGCCGCATGTCGCCTATCTCCTTGCCCATAGTCACTCCGTACAGGAGGGCGCTGATGCCCCTTCTCCCGCCTTCTCGCAACTGCTCCACCTCCGCTTCCGACCTGCATTGTCGTCATCGGTCGATCGGTACAACAAAAAAATCGACGGCTTCAATAATCACAAAATAGTTTGCAGCGCCTCTTGTCAAAACAAACTTCGTCACTGCGATTGTTCGTGCCTGCGTCTTTACGGTGGACGACGCCCCGACCCATTACGCGGAACCCCTGTTTCCCACTCGCGGGACCCCCAATTCCCATTCACGATTCACGGGACGCCCAATTTCCCTTCGCGGGGCCCCAAATTCTTCTCTCGCGGACCCCTCACTTACCCTTTGCCAAGGAGCTTAACCAGCAAAAACGAAACCAGACCAGAAGGACACGACCATCACCTCGAGAGGGCATCTTGAACGACCTTCGTCACTCTCTCCCGCGTGGTGAAGGCGTCTGGGTCCACGACCACGGCAAAGTCCGAGTAGTTGAGCACATGCCTGACGCCGCCGCCGCCGCCGCCGCCGCCGCCGCCGCCGCCGCCGCCACCGGCGCACCCCGCACCCGCCCCGAGAAAGCAAAAAAACGACCGAGGGAACGGAATAGACAAAATTAGCGAACAAACCAAGAGATAAGGTTGAAGAAAAAAAGATACACAAGACCCCCCCCCCCCCCCTCCCCGGTGGTGCCCCCGAACTGTCAACCACCTTCCATTTTTCCTGTCACGACCCGTCCCAAACACCATAACGACGGGAACTGACTCGGAGAACTTGAGGACGGTCACCGAAGACCCCCCCCCCCTCCAC